TACCCCAAAAAGTTAAGAAACAGATCATAAGCAGATATATACTCTCCCATGTTCATTGCAGCAGAGTTCATAATAGCAAGAAACTGTAAACACCCTACATTCCCATCAGTACAAGAGTGGATTAAGGAAAACTCTGGTATACACACACAATGGAATACTACTCATCCCTACGAAAACAGCGATGAAATTATGAAACACCTCATGACATGGAGGGATCTTGAAGACATTATGCTGAGTGAAGGTAGTAAATCACAAAAAAACAAATACTGTATGACTCCACTGCTGTAGGAATAAGCAGAATAATGACACAAGCTCAGGTTTCTAAGTCATCCAGTATGCTGGCCATATAGAGAGCCTGACCATTGCCAATGAACCATATTATTATCTGCTCAAGGTAAGTATTTTGTAGGTCATTTTGCTGAAGGGCGCCTTATGTTAGCTAGGATCAAATGGTCAAAGGAGAGGAAGGGGAAGTTGTCTACTGAGTGACTGCTATATAAATCTATGATGAGTTTCTCCCCTACACCACCCCCCACAGGTAGACAGCCCTATCAGAGGGATGAGGGATACCGATGGGAAAAACAAGGAGAGGGGAAAGGAAGCAAACAAATCTGGGAGAACACAAATGCATGTCTTGGTAGGCAGAGAGAGGGAGGACTGATCTCCAACTGGGAGAAAGAAATGACTGAAAATGCTTTGGGAAACCCTAGGAAGGGAGTGTCTTTGATGGTATGTACCAAATGGGCCACATTGACTTGGGCTTCTGGGTGTATCCTGATGACCCAGGCCGGGGGTGGCATGGAATGCTGGAACACTGAACTGGATTCTATCTCAGACACACTTGTAACCGAGGACTAAAGTTGGAAATACATGGTGCCTAAGGAAGTGGTAGACAGCTGTACCAATATTGTTGAAGGTGGACAAACATGGTCTTGCTACATCATCATATGTGGTCTTGCTACATCAGGTGTACCAAGACTGTAGGTGGACAAACATGGTCTTGCTACATTAATGTCTGATACGCAGTATTAAGATATGTTTTATTCCAGCAAACATGTGGCAGACATTCTCAGTCATTATTATTGTAAATTTCCTTGTCAACTCCCATTGTTTGTGTAAACAGCGTCCAGTCACAAAAGGATTCATTATGTACAAGTGAATAATTCAGGTACTGTATATGGAGTTAGTCTACATTGGCCCAATATCCCTTTCTCAAGAGGGCTTTTAAAAATTAGTACCAGGGGCTAATCAAAGACAATATTAACGAAAGATTGTTATCCCAAGGGCATGATCGATGAAACTCTCTACCTAATTAACAGCAAAGTTTTGAGAGGGAGCCTTAGGCAGATAAAACAAACGAACTAACTAACTAACTAACAAAAAACAGATCCAGGACTGGGTTTGGGGCTCAAACTAAATCCTAGTTCCAACTTAAGAACAATTAGTTCTTATATCATGGCCCTGCTCAATTCTCACCCTCAGGAGGGAAAACAGAAAATAAGAGTGCTGTAGCAAAATGTGGTGAAGAAATTAGATGGTGCCCGGCTGTCAGATAAAGTAGTGTCAGGGATCTTAAAAGCTTGTCGCCAAAGAAACAGCCATCTAAGTGAGATGTCAACTAAGTCCACATGGAAGAAGCACAGTATCATCAGTCACCAAAAGATTGTGAATCATATAATCTGAAGTTGAAGGAAGGATTAGTATCAGAGCCTAAATTGTGAGATTCTGGTTTGTAGAAGGCTATGGATGCCAGTGGGAGCCCAAGATATATTTGTGGGAACTACGTAGGAAATAAGCCTCCGGTGATCTCCCTCTATCCATAATTGAGGAATGGGAGGAAAGTGGTGACTAAACAGTGCATTGGAGATGTGAGTATAGATCAGAGGGATAAACCTGACTTGAACAGTTAAAACTTTGTCAGTTGATCCGCTCTGATGCACATTGGATGTGATCTGGTTTTCAATATTTTCTGTATTTTTGTTTTTTTCTTTTCGTTTGTTCATATCAGGGTGTATCTCAGGGTGTTATGTCATTGGGGTGGTCACCCTCTTGAAGTTGTGTTATATGTCTTTCTGTCTTTTGGTATATAAAACCCAGGATTAATGAACCTACAGGGACAGCAAGTAGAATAAGGGTTTCAGATTGGCCGGGGGTAGGGGGGGTGAAAAGGAAATGATGTCAAGGAGTCCAGGAAAAAGAAGAGTGTTTGGAAACTGATTGTGGTAGCAATGGTACAAAAGCAATGGTACTGCTTGATGTGATTGAGCTACAGAATGATTTTTGTATTAACTTCCAAATAATAATAAAATAAACAAATAAAATAAGGCTTTATATTTTATTTTATTTAAGTTTTCAGATTATGAGCTGATTCTTTAGCATCACCTTATAATGACTTAAGAGGAGCCTTGGGTGGTGTACTGTGTTACGCTTTGGGGCGCTAGCACAAGATCGACAATTCAAAACCACCTACCACTCCGAAGGCGAAAGATGAGGGTTTCTACTCCTATAAAAATCTGCCGTCTCAGACACCCACAGGGACAGTTCTACTCTGCCCTATATAGGGTCACTTTGAGGTGAAATTGACATGATGGCAGCGAGTTTGGTTTTTGGAGCGGTGGTGACCAGTAAGTTTTAGCTTTTACTTTTAATATTCTTTTAAATATATTTCATATGTTTTACCCTATTATACTTACTCCCCCACCCCAGATTACCTTATTGTTAAATTACCTTATTTGGTGGGCTCTTCATCAAGTTAGCTCCTAAATTCTTTAACTCTTAAGTCTTTGATAACTTTCTTGCAATGTGGAATAATTTTTGCATCATTTGGGATATGTCCCATCTGAGAACCTGGAGTTAACATTCTATAAGGCCATAGTACTTGGAAGAAATAGCTGTTACTATTAACTTGTTATTTTTTAAGCAATAGCCTATGAGGTCTGTTTATAGTCTTAACAGTCCTGATAGTTCTTGCAGTATGAATTTTCTTTATTGTTTTGCCCCTTTACCATTATGATTTTAAGCATTTGGGGAGTTCTCTTTTGCTTTTGAGTTTAAGGTCTTAAAACAAGTTTGTGTGTATGTGTTTCATGTTGTTATAGTTTATCCAACATTGGTTTGTTTGGAGTTGGAGGGGTGGTTTCTTTCATTAATAAAATTATTATTTGAGTAAAGTCCCTTATTGCATTGCATTTAGAATACAGCATGCATTATGTCAGAAATTACTTTATCTTGGGCTTAAGTGGAAACTACTTACTAGTATTTTTATATTTCCCATGTATGCGTGGATACTTTCTGTTGGCTTTTTTTTTTCTATTGGCTTTTTATGAGTAAATGTAATATGAGGGTAAGTTAAAAATATTGCTACAAAATCACAAATGTTTATTTAAACAAAATGTGAAGCTACTGTCACAACATTTCCTCTCCATCTAGGTCCACAAACTTTTGAAGGCAGTGTTTCTTTTATACAATTCTATCATTTCCCTGAAGAATTTCTGTGCTCTTTGATTTACACAGCAGTTTTGACACCCCAAGGAACTCAAATCATGTTACTTTGAAATGTTCTTTGAATTTGGAGAACAGAAAGAAGTCTAAAGGGGTGTCATCAAGGCTGTAGGGTAGGAAGGTTATGGTCTTCAATGAAACCTCTCATAGGACAGCCTTTAGAGAATTGTTGTTAGATGCCATTGAATCTGTTTTGACCCCATAGTAAACCTGTGCACAACAGAACAAAACACCACCATCCTCACAAATGCTATTATGTTTGAACCCATTGTTGCAGCCGCTGTCCCTATTTCTGACCATGTTTTAATGCTCTCTATACGACTTTCAGTGGTGAATTTCTCTGAGGTGGACAGCCTATTCCTTCTTTGTAGTCTATTCTTAGTCCGGAAGCTCTGCTGAAACCTGTTCGCTTTGGGTAACGCTGACCTTTCAAATGCCAGCAACATAGCTTCCAGCATTACGGCAACACACGTAAGCCACCACAGCAGGACACACTGACAGACCAGGGGTGGTGCTCTTTGAAGAAGAGCTGAGTGGATTGCTGTGATGGGGGAAAAATGCCTCAGAACAACTTTCCTGGCTTACCAATGCATTTTTTAATTTTTTAAAAGCATTTTCATTAAGCCCCTGTGATTGTCCTCTGCCCTTCAGGAAAAATTTATCAAAATCAACTTTGACATCTTACAAGAGTCATCATAACCTTTTTGAACTGACCTTTCTCCCTTGGATTTAAGTGACCTCATAGATCCTCTTGGAAGTTACTGTTTTCATTTAAGTGTACTACTGAAAGAACTTGATAATTGTACGTATTACTGAGAGAACTTGTCTCTAGCCATCCACCGATTGCAGAGACATGTTGAACCTTATTTTGGTAGAGTATGAGTCAGAATTGACTTGATGCCAGTGAGTTTAGTTTTTTTAATTTAAAATGTGTATATGTGTGTGCGTGCATATGCGCACACACACGAAACCTTAGCAATAGTTTACTTATACTTGTATATTATGGTGAAAGTCAGTTTTAATTTTCATATGTAATAGATTCACTATTTGCATATTTGACATATTTCAACCTGGCATTTAGGTAAGGTAGGGAACAAAAACATAAAAAAAACACTTTGTATTATTTTACCATTTTAACTTGGAAGCAGAGAGAGGGGTTTTAGGCAGAAAGGTTTCTATATGGAATTGTGTGAAATTGTAGGATCTGACATTAAGCTGCCAGATGAAGAAATTTTTCTTCTCTCCCAAGACTCTTCCTACCTCAAATGTTATGTGAATCTGATTTCTTTTTCTTTTTTTTAAATTTTTTTGTGAATCTGATTTCTGTTGAATTTTTTTCTTATGTATATGTGGAGATATATGTTATGGTTGTAGTTCTGTAAAATATCCAGGCAGTGAACTTTAGTGCCATCTAGAAAGAAAAAGGAAGACGATGAAAACTTGGGCAAACAGTTATTTTGTGAAGCCCTAAAATATATCACTTTTATTCATCCATACAGAAAACAAGCATGAGGCCAAGAGGAGGCGAACAGAGAGAGTTAGGCGAGAGAAGATAAATTCTACAGTAAATAAGGATTTAGAAAACAGAAAGAGGTCACGAAGTCACAGCCATTCAGATCATATCAGACGAGGAAGAGGAAGACCTAAAAGTGCATCTGCCAAAAAACATGAGGAAGAAAGAGGTATGAATAAAATGCAAGCAGTTTTTTTTGCCCCCTTCCCCTTATTAAATGGATCTCAGATCTTAATTAGATATTAGAGAAAAAAAGTGTTTGATAGCTCCTGAATTAAAAAAATAACCAAATTTTAATTTAAAAGCATTTCCTCTATGGTAGATGCTTATTAAAACACACACACAAAAATTTTATTGCTAACACAAAAGCATAAAACTAAAATCTACTTTTAAACTTTTGGTTCAGAGATAATTTATATATGACATCAAGCTTGTTAAAGTGGATGTACTTTTTTATTCAGTCCTTTAAGTCCAAGTTCCATTCAGTCCTATTTCCAATTCTTGTTTCATGAGTTTAACAATTTTACTATTGAAATTAATTGTTAAATTGCTTCTGTTCTGTGTGCTCCCTGGTTGGAGGCAGATTTTGGTTACTTCAATCCTTTTAGTCCAAACAATATGCATACTTCTCTTTGTAGATTTTTTTCTTTGCAGTAGTATATCCACAAATAGTTGTTTTGACCATTAATCAAAATTTTTAATATGGACATTTTCAAATCTGTGTAAGAATATAGAGATTAATGTAATCATCACCCATGGATTCATGTATATCCTTTAAAAATTAAGTTTCAAGCCAGTAATTAAAAAGTTGCTATTTATAATCTCTTTTAAAATCTCCTTTTCAAAATATTTTAATCTGCAGTAAAATGCCTTTATAATTTCATACTTTATGAGTGACATACTTTAGACAGTTGTAAACAACACAACTATTTTCTATATAAATGTGAATTTCTCATAGATAATGAGAGGTTTTTTTTTAACCTGTTCACATTTGCGGGGGTTTTTTTGCATTTGTTTGAATAAACTTACTGATTTAGAGAAAAATCACTTCACTGATAATAGCTGTCACTGGCTTTATATTGTTTGGCTAAAGAAATATTTATATACTATTTGACTATATTATGTGAAGGCTATAGTTAGATACTTGTTAATTCCTTGAGTATTTTACTCCATTTTCTCTTCTACTATGCTCTTCTAGAAAATTGGACTTATCTTCTCAATTTGAATGTATTCCTTTACAATGAGATGATCAGCAAAATAAGTAAAGAAAACAGATTACAAAAAGAAAAGGAGATACTACTTGGCTTAGAAAGTGGAACATTCTTTTTAGTTGATGTAAAGGGAATATACCCGAAGAAAGGTTAAGTGGTGGGTGAAAGGAGAGGAAAAACAGACAGATAAGACAGCCTTTTATTCAGGAAATGAAGTCTGTGTAGTTGTGCTAGGAATCTAAAGGATATATACAATCTTGGAATGTTATTTCATGATAGTTGAAAAAACAAAAACATTTATTTAGCTATGAGTTTTTTTCCAGTAGCTTGAGTTTATTCCAGAAAAATTTAAAGACAGCTGTATCTAGAGTAAGTTAGCCTTTAAGTTTATTTGCTTTCATTACAAGTTGGAAGAATGATAAAAGTTATTCTTATATCTTAAACTGGAATCTTCTAATTTAGACCAGGGCCCAACACTGTTTTTTTGGTGAGGTGCCAGATAGTAAATATATATAGGACACAGTCCATGTCACAATTGCCATTGTTTCTGAAAAGCAACCATGACAATGTATAAAAAGGCATGAATGTGTTTCAATAAAATTTTATTTTTGAAAGAAAATGGCATGCCAGGTTTGACCCACACACTGTAGTTTAACCACCTTTGATATAGACCAATATTCTCTCTATATAATATGAATAACAAATACAAAACTTGAACTATCTATATATGTTTAGGACATATTTCTTTGATATACTTCTTAATGCTAAGTAGTGTTTAGTTCAGTTTTATTGATTCTTTGATCATGTTTTTATTAAGTCCCATCTAATCACTTCCTGCTGATAGCAACCCTGTGTATAACAAAATGAAACACTGCTCAGGCCTGTGCCATCCTCACAATTGTGTCTATATTTTAGCCTACTATGCAGCCACTGTATCAGTCCATCTTATAGAAGGTCTTCTATTTTTCACTGAACCTCTGATTTTCCAAACATGATGTCTTCTAGGCACTGGTCCCTTCCTTCTCTGAGGGAACTGAATAGTCTAGTCTGGGTTTTTATTTTAATATGGGTTAAATATTACCTGAAAGTAATGTTAAATGGTCCCTTGCCATATTTTGAGCTTTGGGTTTTATTTTTTACAGCTGGGGGTCTCATAGGTAAGTTAAGAAAATTCTGACAACATATTTAAAGAGTTAAAGCAATAAGGCTGTGTTTTCTGTATATGTTTATGTAACAGTTTTATTGGCACTTCATTCACATGGCTTACAATTCAGTAGTTCAACCCTATCAAGAGGAGTTGTACAATCTTTACCAAAATCAATTTTGGAAAATTTTCTTTTTCTCCTTACTTCCTTGTTTATTTGTGTAATTTGCCCCCCCAATTTTGGGCAAAAAACAGACATAAAACATTCTCTATTGTCTTCTATATTTATAATTCAGTGCCATTGATTATACTCTTTGTGTTGTACAACTATTATTTATATCCCTGTCCAAATTGTTCCATCACCATTAAAATGAATTCAGTGTCCCCTAAGCAAAAAAACCTTTCTCCTTCACCCATGTTAACCATAGGTCAAATTTGGTTTATTATGTATTTTTTTAAGTAGTTTTCTTGATAGAATATTCACATTTACTCCCATAGTTACTTCTAAAAAATCACTTCTAAAAAGAGTTGTATATACATAATCACAATCAGCTCTAATACTCCCTCCCCCCTCCCACATCCACTAATTGCTCCTTAATTCCCTCCCTCAATCCCAGTTGCATCAGTTATTAATTATCTCTATGGATCCACTACTTCTGTTCTTCCTAAACTAAGAGACCTAACAGAAACAACAAAAAACAAAAGAAGAAAATAATACAAAGATAAAAATACAAATGAAATGTAATAACGAAAAGAACATTATCAATATTTAAAAGGTCAGAGAAGAAATTTCTGTCCTGGAACTTGAAGGTGAGAAGTCCTAGAACAAATTCAGTTTAGGTCAAGAGGGGAGGTCAGCTGACCAAGTATCATATTATACCATGTTTCAATCCACCATAATCAAGTGTACAATCATTACTATCTGATAGTAAAGCTGTTCAGGTCCCTTGCCTGTGGCTACCGGGGCTCCCCCAGGGTTTTAATCTGACTAGAGAGTCTGCAGATGGATTTTAGGCTCCCACTGCCCTCCATAGTCTTCAACAAGTTGGGTGTTCAAAATTTAAGCTCCAATATTTTTCCTTTTGATATATTTGGATTTTGTTATTGTCATCTTTGAATCACTTGGATGGTGTGCTTCTTCTGTGTGGATTTAATTGACACCTCACTTAGCTGTTTGTTTTAATACAAGCCTTTAAGACCCCGGACACTATTCCAATTGATAACCAGCACCATCAGCTTTCTTTACCACACTTTGCTGTAGTACCTTTATCTTCAGTGGTCTCTTTGTGAAGGTGAGTATTGAGCCAGGGCCATGTTATAAGAACTAACTGTTTTTGGATTAGTGCTCGAATTTTGTGGGAACCCAGAATCCATCTGCTTGTCCTCAGGTTAGGAACGACTGGTTTACTTCGGTGGTCATATTATGACAAAAACCAAAACCCGGGCCAACAAGATCAACAACAGGAAAAAGAAAACAAGAAACAAAAAAGAAAAATATTGTCAATCAAACCCTTAGTGTATAAGGCAATTGTATTGATAACATCAATTATCCAATGGCATAGAATGTAAGGTTCTGTTGATAGGAATTTATGGGCGTATAGTCCAACTGCAAGTTGCAATCCATGACTTCCTGTATTGAACTCTGTTTACATTGAGTATGAGGGTTTGTGCTAGGGGAAATTGTCCTGCATCATCTCTTGCAAGGTCAGAACTTGCCTCTCAGACCAAAACCTATCATATTAATGCAAGGAGAGCAATGAGGCACCAATATGGTGGCTCTGGGTCTCCTTTCATTGGCCAGAGGTCCCACCCAAGATCCAGTAACTGCCATTTCCACAGTCTTGGGTGGCTGTCCTTTGCATTTTCTTCCAGTGGGTATTTCAGTGTGTGTTAGTCTGGGTAGACCAGAGAAACTAGTCTACAGAAATTCATATGTATAAGAGAGAGTTTTATTTAAAAAGTAAGTGTACATTAAGAAAGCATCCCAACACAGTGCTATCCAAGCCCATAAGTCCAACATTAGCCCATATGTCCGACACCAATCTACAAAGTCTTCCTCAATCCCACAAAACACACGCAATGACGCTGACTGCAGGAGGAAAGCCGAATCTGAGCGTGTAAGCATCTCAGCACTGGCAAGGGGTCTCCACACAGCTACTCCAGCACCCAGGGCTGCATCAGGGTAGGTCCATTTGGCTTCTCCTTGGGGATGTCTTGCAGGAAGTGAGGCTTGCCAGCTGAAGCAGGGAACTGGCTAAGACATGCACCCTGGTTTGACCATCAGAAATCAGGAGACCCGAGAACTAGAAAGGCGAGGCTCACCGAACCATTTATCGATCCCCTCTTCAATTAATCCCACCTGTGTTTATCAGACAGGTTGGCACAATAAACCTTAACTATCTCACAGTCTGCCCAAGGGTTTAGATATTTTTTAGGTAGGGTCCAGTTCATTCAGTCAAGCTTTCATGCTGAATCCATCTAGCGTGGCCCTTTTGTAAAGGAAAGAATGGAAGAGGAAACTTGCTAGTAAAAAAAAAGCAAGGTGATTATCTTAAAAACAATTAAGTCCATATTTCTGGTTGGTCTGATTTCCATTTCATGTGGAACTGTGATTATTCTGGGCATTCATGTATTTTGGACAATTCTGAATTATCTTTTTAATGAAGTTACCGAATAAAAAAACACTTCATGTTAAAACTGATTGAATGAATACACATCTAACTCATCTCTTTTTCCAAATCTCAGTAAAATGACACTAAAGGAATTTATTTTAAAGGACCAAAAGACAAGGAATGGGAGAAGAAACAACAGCAACTAAATTCTGGAACCTGGAAATAGTAACAGCAAGCCAACAAACCTAAATCAATAACCTCCTTTAGTGAAAGATGGGAGAGAAATGAAGCTGCATATCCCCATAAAGAATTACAGATTAGAAAACACAAAGGAGTAGTTCTCTGACCTGTAGGGACACTATGAATTTCACTTGACTCCATGGCAGTGGGTTTTGGGGGGTTGGTGAATGAACACATTGATCTTTATTACCAAATTGCCAAAAAGGATCAGAAATATGTCCATCATTTATATCTGGAAGTGTGGAGATGATGAGGCTGAAAATAAGAATATTGCTTGAAAGTCTGTTCATGATTATTTCAGTAGGTTTGTTCCTTCCTCCCTACACTTCCCCATTATCATAATCTGAAATATGATTAGTAGAAATGAAAAACCTTAGTAGAAGATTTGAAGATAAAATTGAAGAAATGTTCCAGAAAATAGACCAAAAAGAAAACAGGTGGAAAATTTTAATAGAAGAAATTTAGATAGCCCGTGAGGTCTGAAATCTATGAATAATTAATGTTTCAGAGAAAGAACAAAGACGATAGAGAAGAGAAAGACACAATGAAATAATTCAAGAAAATTTCTCAAACTTCATTGAATTTACAGATTGAAAGGGATGGCTAAATACAGAAATTATATCAAGTGTACAGGACTGAAAGAGTAGAGTATTTTAGAGGATCCCCGGGTGGGGTGTGTGTGTGTAGGAAGAGATGAAAAATGCTGAAATCTTGACTTTTTTCCCCATGGTGGAAAGTCAATAAATAGTACCTAAAACCAATAAACAGCATCAAATAATAATGTTACTGAGATATAAGGAAGTAAATGAAAAGAAGAAACTTTTTTTTTAAGTAGTTATATTTAGAAAGTAGGAAATGTGCACAGGGAGAAAGACTTCTGTTTTATAATAAATGTAAAAATGATTAAAATCTTTAACAATATTTGAGGGACTTCAAAAATGTCATGAAAATGGAATTAAATGGTAATGGAGTTTTTCCATGAACTTTTTGTCCTTAAGAATCAAAACAAAATGAAAATAAAATTATAATAGAGCCAGAAAATAACAATTTAGAAGAACGTATACCATGTTGATTTTGGTTTTAACTTGTTTATGAGATCATAGTTGATCTTCTTTTTCTGTATATTTCAAATTTTCTACCATCAACTTAGATTAAATTTTCAGTTAGGAGAGGAGAAAAGCGTAACTCCCTGATATTTTAAGGTGTTTCTTTTTGTAGTCTTAATGTTTACTTTATCAATGGCATAGCACATTGGTAACTTCTTTTTGAAATTTGTAGCTGGGCTAAGGTGAAAAAGTTACTGTATTCCTAAAGTCAACATTTAGAGGGGATCTATTGTTAACATTTTAAAAAATCATTTTGACTGAGTTAGCTCACACTAATGAAAAAAAAAGTATTTGAGGTTCTTAGTCTGAATCATAGGCACACAATGACAATAGAGATGATGTGTATAGATAATAAGCTGTATAAAAATGTATATATAGTCGCATTTAGTCTTAGTAATTAATGGTATTTCAGTTATTTGTATAGTTAAAATTTTTAAGTTCTGTAGCAAAAATACTTTATAATGTACAGTATTTAATATTAAGTGCTTAAATTTTTTACAATTTTAAAATTAATTACATCTACTGTTCATTATTCTAAGCTTTCCCTTTTTCTTTTAACAGAAAAACAGGAAAAGGAAATTGACATCTATGCTAACCTCTCTGATGAAAAGGCTTTCGTGTTTTCAGTTGCCTTGGCAGAAATAAATAGAAAAATTATCAATCAAAGACTTATTCTCTGATAAAGGTCTGCAAAATCTGTTGAAACTTTCTTCAGGATTACATCACCAAAATTTCAAACAGTTACGGACTCTCAGGAGCATTCTGAATGCATCAATAAGGGCCATTGATTGCTTTTTCCTCTATTGATCCCCTTGTGCCACATATTGGAAGCAAATTCTAGACTTGGACTGTTCTGGAATTTCCTTGTTTACTAAGGAGCATTGTCAGTGTTTCGTGTTTGTATTTACTTTTTCAAAAAGTGCTGGATGGATGTTAAGGGTAAGGGGCTCAGGGTGGGGTTGGAGGGATGAAAAATAAAGAAATACTTGTAATGTTCAGGTTTGCCACCAGAGATGCAATATTTTAAATACTTTCAAAAAGAGTGACTTTTAAAAACATTTCAGCTTTTAAGCATTAACAGATCACAATTCCTTTAATAAATTTGGCAATTAATACATTATTGGATGGAAAAAACTAAGTTCTGTTTGAAATTGATTTTTCTCTTGGCCTTTATATTTATGACTTAAGCTTTAAGTCTTTGGGAGATAATATGTAAGCATTTTGGAAGTTTGGGTGCTATGTGAAGAAAAAATAAGACGTCATACTTTAGATATATACACCTTGTTTTCCTGAATGTAACTTATTTATTGGTTAATTTTTTTCCTGGTCTCAAGATGGTGCCTGTTAACCTAAACATAAAATATATTTATTACATACAAAATATTTCTTAGCCACTTTTAAGCAGTAATATTTTATCGGAATTGATAAATTATCACCCTGGTAATTATTTAAATTGTTAGCTAATCTCACTCTGGAAGAAAAATAAATCTTGATATTAAAACTAAGTAGAGTAAATAGTGTGGTAGCTTTTTCTAGTGAAGTGTGTGGGATATATTTAAATTTTTAATTTTTTTCTATTTTTAATCACAACTTTATCACTTTTTATTAAATATATTTGCATTTTTATGTACTAAATATTTATCAGCATGCTTAAACCTGATAATACCTTTCCCATGCAGTCAGCTTTTTTCCTGATTCTGTTTGGAAGCTCCAAAACCTTCTTTTCTTAAGGAAAAATAGACATAACTTAGACTTAGCACCTGCTTAAGGAAATCTCCCATTCAGTTAATCTCTCTCGGTTTCAGCATTGTAGGCTTCATAATACAGCTCTACCCATTCAAAAAGAAAAGTTCTGTATGGTTTTCTACTTTATTTAAATAGTAGCCAGCAGAGGGAGCTTTACACTCTCACTAAGTAGGATGTAAGCTAAGAGACACATAACATTTGTTAAGGCAATATTTGGCCACATATACATAAATACATAATCCACAGGTGGGGAGGATGGATTTAGGGTTGTAAGGTTGCCAAGAAGTGGGGCCAGTGACAGCTCTAGTTCAGCTCCTGTTGATTAAAGCCTAGCAATCATTCTGTGGCTTACAGCTCCTGAGCCAAAGTGGTAGCTAAGTCACAATGGTCAACGTTCTCATCGCTGCTGCAGGCACTATCCTGGTGGTGATCCCCAAAAGGAAACACTGAGTTGCAGCCCCTTAGCTCCATCCTTCTGGGCTTTCATTTCTAACCAGGACCCCCAAGGGTTACTCAGTGCTATGTACCCAGAGGCAAACTTGAAGGTACAAATTTGTAAGCCCTGAGGCTCCAGACTAACTAATGGAGCCAGAGCAGCTAGCACACGGTGGTTATTACTTTGATATGTGTATCAAATATATACAAACGTATAAAATGGCATTTTTACAACATCCCAAATCCATACATACTGTTTTATAGACTGTCATTCATGTTAAGCAGCATAAACTTGTACAATTTATTTAAGATTTCACTTTCCAGTATTCCATAAATATTCCTGTAAGTACTATTACAGGTACCTTGGGTGCATTTTAAGATTCTAGTAATAAAAGTTTGCTCCTACGAACAGTAATGTTTTATCTTTGAATCATCTCAAAGTGAGACCTGTGACAGCTGCAGCTCAGGGAGACTGCCTTGTCTTTCCAGGTCTGGCAAAACCTCCACCATTGAACAGGGTTCAATCTTAACGTTTTTCAGTCTCTAGTTTTAGTGGAATATATTTGAGTTTTCCCTCTCTGACAGGTTTCAGCCTTATATAGATTACAGCTTTTGCAGTTTTTAGGAAAGTTATTTTCATTTTCAGAGGAAAAGTTCAAAATTATTTGTATCTAAAAATGCTTGCATACATACAAAATTATTTGTATCTAAAAATGCTTGCATACACAAGCAAGAGCTTGTGGAGTAGGTATGTCTTTAAAGAATCATTGTTGTCAGAGTCTGTCTATTTAAAGGTGAAGACCATTAGAGGAAAGGTCTGTTAAAATAGTCATGGATACAGTAAAAAAGAGTGGTGACTAGACTTGATGCTTGCCATGTTGAAAATAATTATTTTACGTTCTCACTGCCATCGAGTCACTTCGGACTCTTGGCAGCCCCGTAGGATAGAGTAGAACTACCCCTCTGGGTTTCTGAGGCTGGAATTCTTTGTGAGCAGAAAGCCTCATCTTTGTGCCTTGTGGTTTTGAACTCCTGACCTTGTGGTTAGTAGCCCAATGCATAACCCACTGTGGCAACAGGACTCCTTCGGTGTCGAGTAAAATGGTGGTTATAGTAGTGGCACAACCTGAGTTTGGGAGGGTCGTAAACAAGATAGTGTGACTCATGATCAGGTGACACTTGAGGCCTATGAGCTGGATGTCAGATAGGCCTCCTTACCAGCTTTTTAAAAAACCAATTCTTTTTTTTTTTGCACCGAGTTTTTATTTATTCATTTATTGATTGATTTTCTTTTTTTTATCGTTTATTAGGGGCTCACACAACTCTTATCACAATCCATACATACATCAATTGTGTAAAGCACATTTGTACATTCATT